ACTTACATAATACACCTTACATAATTGGCAGCATTTGGAGGTGATGTTATGCCGGGGCGTCCACTGTATATATAAATATATATATATATATATATTATACTATATTATATAATATATATATATATATATATATACTATATTATATATATATATACTCTATATATATATTATTACACACACACACACAACACCAGTTTGAATCCACACCTAGTCAAGACACGTCAAGAAAATTAGAGAAAGTGCAAAGGTATGCACATGGACTAGTGCCAGAGCTTCAGGTGTTGTCTACAAGAAAAGGTGAGGGAAATCAGGTCACCTGTCGACATGGAGGCCAGGAGGGTCAGGGGCAGACTGATAACGAACATATAAAATATGCGCGAATAGACGAGGTGGACAAAGACGGGATGTTCCAGAGATGTGGACAAGACACTAAGAGGTCACAATTGGAAGTTGAAGATATCAGATGAATCAAAGGGATGTTAGGAGTATATTCTTCCTTCATGAGTAGTAGCCGTGAATTAGCAAGAAAGTGAAGTAGTGGAGGCGGAAATGATAACATTAGTTTTAACGGCGGGAGTATGATAAGCTCATGGAGCTGGGAGGAGAGGTAACCTAGTGCATCAGTGAAAGAAGGCGGGGCCAGGAGCTATCGACTCGACTCCCTGCAACCACAATATAGGCGAGTACACACACCACACCACACACGTATCATAGGTCAGTAGGTTGGTTGACAGCAACCGCCAGGGAAAGGGTACTACCGTCTGCAAGGTGAGGTGTAAACTGAAGCCTGTAATTGTTTTACACGATGGTAGGATTGCTGGTGTCTTTTTTTTTTTGTCTATTCTCATGCAAGATTTCAGGTAAGTCGTGCTACTTCTACTTAACACTAGGTCACATTGCACATACATGTACAGCATATATACAACACACATCCTCTGGGTTTTCTGCTATTTTCTTTCTAATTTTGTTCTTGTTTATTTTCTCTTACCTCCATGGGGAGTGGAACAGAATTTTCCTCCATAAGCCATGCGTGTTGTAAGAGGCGACTAAAATGCGGGAGCAGGGGGATAGAACCCTTCTCCTGTAATTTATTATCTAATTGTAAAAAGGGAAACTTTCGCTTTATCCCTTTGAGGCTACCCCGCCCCCTCGGTGGGATACAGCCCAGGTGTGTGAAAGAAAGAGAAGATATAATGTTTTTATATCTAGGTAGTAGCGTGGGTAGACAGCAGCCACCCAGGGAAGTACTACGTCCTGCCAATGTGAGTGTAAAACAGAAGCCTGTAATTGTTTTATACATGATGGTAGGATTGCTGGTGTCTTTGTTCTGTCTATAAAAATTGGCAAGATTATAGGTACGTCTTGCTTCTTTTACTTACACTTAGGCCCACACTACACATACAATGTAGAAGCCATTATACTACACACCCCTCTGGGTTTTCTATTATTTTCTTTAATAGTTCTTGTTCTTGTTGTTTATTTCCTTACCTCCCATGGGGGGAAAGTGGAACAGAAATTTTTCTCCGTAAGCCTTGCGTGTTGTAGGCAGGCAATCTTAAAATGCCGGGACGAGAGCAAGGGGCTAGTACTCTTATCTGTATATTTTACTAAAATGTTTAAGGCCGAAACTTTCTGTTTTTCCTTTTGGGCCAACCCCGCCTCGGTGGGATACGGCCGGCATGTGTTGAAAGAAGAAGAAAGGTGAACTTTCGCTTTTTCCTTTTAGGGCCACCCGCTCCTTCGGTGGGATGGATACAGGCCAGTGTGTTAGAAAAGATAAGATGACTATACATGTATATTTATCCTAATAAGTAGGTTGTTAAACAGCAACCGCCCAGGGGAGTTAATTCACGGTACCTGCCAAGTGAGTGTACAACGAAATCATGTAATTGTTTTTACATGATTGTAGGATTGCTAGGTGTCCTTTTTTTGTCTCATGACATGCAGATTTCAGGTTATGTTTTGCTACTTTACTTACACTTAGGCACACTACACCATACAGGTACAAGCTCATATATACACACCCCTCTGGGTTTTTTCTTTCTATTTTCTTTCTAAAGTTACTTATTCTTGTTTATTTCCTCTTACATCCATGGGTAGTGGAACAGAATTCTTCCTCCGTAAGCCATGAGTGTTGTAAGAGGCGACTAAAATGCCGGGAGCAAGGGGTAGTAACACCTTCTTATCCACTGGTATAAATTACTAAATTTAAAAGAGAAACTTTGTTTTTCTTTTTGTGAGCCACACTGCCTTGGTGGGGATTCGGTCGGTGTGTTGAAAGAAAGAAGACTGTAGGTGGTAGGTTGTAGACTAGCAACCCACCCTGGGAGGTACTACCATCCTGCAAGTGAGCATAAACGAAAGCTGTAATTGTTTTCATGATGGTAGGATTGCTGGTTGTCTTTGTCTGTCTCTTAAAAAGATGCAAGTTTTAAGGTACGTCTGTGCTACTTCTACTTACCATAGGCAACACTACACATACATGTCCAAGGCACTTATATTTCCACACCCTCTGGTTTTCTTCTATATTTCTTTCTAGTTCTTTATTCTAGTTTTATTTCCCCTTATCTCTATGGGGAAGTGGAACAGAATTCTTCACCTCCGTAAGCCATGCGTGTTGTAAGAGGCGACTAAAATGCGGGAGCAAGGGGCTAGTAAACTTTCCTGTTTAAATTTCTAAATTTAAAAAGAGAAACTATTGTTTTTCTTTTTGGGCCCCACCTGCCTTGGTGGGATACGGACCGGTGTGATTGAAAGAAAGAAGACTGTAGGTAGTAGGTTGGTAGACTGCAACCACCCAGGAGTACTTCATCCTTGCCAAGTGAGCATTAAAACGAAGCCTGTATTGTTTTACATGATGGTAGGATTGCTGGTGTCTTTTGTCGGTCTCTATAAATATGCAAGATTCTCAGGTACGTCTTGTACTTCTCTTACACTTAGGTCACACTACACATTTCATGTACAAGCACATATATACACACCCCTCTGGGTTTTCTTCTATTTTCTTTCTAGTTTCTTATTCTTGTTTATTTCCTCTTATCTCCATGGAGGAAGTGACAGATTCTTCCTCCGTAAGCCATGAGTGTTGTAAGAGCGCGGGACTAAAATGCCGGGAGCGCAGGGCTAGTAACCTTCTCCTGTATAAATTACTAAAATTTAAAAACGGAGAAATTTTGTTTTTCTTTTTGGGCCACCCTGCCTTGGTGGGATACGGCCGGTGTGTTGAAAAGGAAAAGAAGACATGGAGGTAGTAGGTGGTAGACAGCAACATCCCAGGGAGGTACTAACATTCCTGCCAAGTGAGCTTTAAAACGAAAGCCTGTAATTGTTTTCACATGTGGTAGGATTGGCTGGTGTCTTTTGTCTGTCTAATAATATGCACAGATATAAAGTTACGTCTTGTATTCTACTTACACTTAGGTCACCACTAACATACATGTACAAGCATATACATACAACCCCTCTGGGTTTTATATTTTCTTTCGTTTTTTGTTTATATTTCTCCTCATCTCCATGGGGAAGTAGAACAGAATTCTTCCTCTGATAAGCATGGTGTTATTAGAGGCTACATAAAATGCCAGGAGCAAGGGGCTAGTAACCCCTTCTTCTGTACAAATATTACCTAAATTTAAAAGAATAAACTTTTGTTTTTTTTTGGGCCACGCCATGCCTTGGGGGATATGGCCATTTTGTTGAAAAAAACAATATTTTTATCACACACCCTTCTGGGTTTTCTTCTCTTTTATTTCTAGTTCTTGTTTATTTCCTCTTATCTCAATGAGGAAGTGGAACAGTATTCTTCCTCTGTAAGGCAATGATGTCGTTAAAGGTGACTAATATGCCAGGAGCAAGGGTCTATTAAGCCTCCTCTGTTACATTCACTAAAGGTTAAAAAGAGAAACTTTTGTTCTTTTCTCTTGGGCGCCACCCTGCTTCGGCAAGGATACAGCTGGTTTGTTGGAAGAAGAGAAATAGCATTTTCTATTTTAAAACCTGGGAGTCTTGGTCAGGCACATTCCTTGTGTGATGTCTCCTGCCTATGTAGGTTGTTAAGATGTCTGCAGTTATAAGTGACAAAAAAAGAAAAAACTCAGTGGGACTCCCAAGTCTGTACTGGACTTCCAATTTCCTTCTCTTTCCTCCTGGACCTAGGTCTTGAGCTAGTCCTGGTGGTGGTGCTTCTTTTGTCAGTAAAAAGTCTGATAAAGTTTTTGTTATGATGATAACCAGGTCAGTATGAAAGTATTCACTTGAGTAACAGTGCTAGTCTTATCTACCTTAAAATTATGGGTTCCACATATTATACAACTACCCCCTATTCACCATTTCCCTCACTAATTCCTAAGTATTTTATCAATAAACACTCTGAGAGGTTTTTTTTTTTAATTATGAACACATCGATGATGAAAAACATGTACGTCCCAGTTACACATGACTCGTCCAATTTGCTTACTAAAATTATTTCAGAAATGTAAATAAAAAAGGAGGGCAAGTGTAATATAGGAAGACCTGGGACATGTTTAAGAAAAAGGAAAAAGTTGCTTTGGGGACGGGAAAATACTACAGTGTTTTTTTTGGGATTTAGTTTTAAAATTGGAAATTTTGTTAAATTTGTGTAAAATTGGGCCCAAGTTATCAAGTTCGTGTATCTACAGAATTTTTGATACTTTAATAGGCAGTTTTTTGTGCTCAATCTGTCAATTTACCCAAAAGAAACAATGACAATGAACGGGGTTTAAAAATAGGAAAAAGTGGTGAACTGCCGATGTATAAATTGTGCCAACCCGCCAGCATAATTCAAAAATTTTTTTTCACAAATTTTAAATTTTTTTTGGTGTCATTAAACCCCTCAGAAAAATTCTTTACCATTTACAAGACTTTTTTTTAAATTTCCTACACTGTCAGCACTTTTTAATTTTGGGGGTTTTCCCAAAACTTTAAAGGGGTTTAAAGAAGGAAAATTCTAATGGGGTGAATTTTTGAATTGGAGACAAACCCACCTTGGTTGGAAATATTAAATGGCGGACTCTGACCAGCTTCTGAGCTGAAGGAGAGAGTGTTAAGTCTCCCACCAGCCTAGGATCAAGGTGGCTACTGCCTCGCTCATTTTAAACCCAGTGATATAAGAGCCTCACCAGCATACAGGTGCCCCAAGAGCCTGAAATAGTTGAATTTTTGAGAAATACATCTTTTCTTCTCCCTTGCTAGGGAATTATTTATTTTCCATTCTTTCAATAAATTTTGATCACAGTATAACTTTTTTGCCAAAACATACATGAATGAGCCTTAATCATCAGTGAGATATGATATGATGAATTAAAAAATCAGATAGAAAAAAGTAAGTGTTGGATATACTGTACAATGAAAATTTATTAACTTTGGATGTTTGTAAGTATGAAACCACCTGTGCAGCGAGAAGACATTTCAGTGCACTGTTTCAATGTAAATAGTGGAAGTGGTTGTGTAGTTTGTGAAGGTTGATGAGTGGTGGTAGTGAGGTAGACAGCCAGTGGGAATGGGGGAGAATATGAAAAGGAAAATATACAAAAACCTTAAGGAAAAAAAAAAGGAAAAACAAAAATCTACATGATCACATAATACATATATGGCTTTAACATTAGAGAGAATATGGCAGGATATAGCATAAATATTCTTCTTAAAATGCGCACTTACTCAAAATACTTGTAATTAAAGTATGACACCCATCTCTAAAACCATGACCACAAAACAAGTCATCTCTTGCTCGTTAAGACATCCTTCAATCATCTAGCAAGTGATTAACATACATTCTTCAGGGTTTCAAGGGGTAAATTCCCTCCATGACTTATGGATGGCATCCTAAAGCTGTGGGAGTGAGCTGATATCCTTCCCCCTAGTAGATTTCTATCTCAGCCCAGAGGTTCTCAGTGGTGCTCACATCTGGGAAGTTTCCTGGTCAATCATTGAAAAAGAATACCCCACAGTCATGAACCACGGAACAAAAAAAATTTTACAGTGTACGGGGGAGCATTGCTTTGCATAAATCCTTGAAACCACACTAAAGGGAAAATTCCACAAATCACAACTAAACCAATTCTAGGTGCTTTAAAGTACTTTATGCTATTTAAAAACATTTTTCTGGGTTTCCCCTTTACACAATTGGGTCCTAAATTTGGATCCCTTCCAAAACTTTGGGAAACTCACCTCTTTTTCCCTTTCCATTTGAGGGCCTCCCTTTTTTGGAAATTTTGATGTTTCTCTGAAAAGGGGGTTGGGCCCAAACTACCCAAACAAACTGGCCCGGGAAAACCACACACGCGGGGGAAAACCAAGCCATAACCACCACCACACAAGCTAAAAAAAGGAAAAGCTAAAAAGTACCATAAAAAACCCAGGATGTTCCACAAAAAGGGTTGCCGGGCCTTTAAAAACATTTTGCTTCACAACAACTTAAACGGGTTTTTATTTTTGGACTTAAAATTTAAATGCGGGGTTTGCCATCCACCCTTTGTATTTTAATAACAACCACTATAGGTAGGGGAAAAATCAGAGACAATCAAAAATACAGAAAAGACCCCAAACCCTAATAAAGGGAAAAGAAATGAAATACTAATTTTTTCTTCTACAAGCAATAGGCCCCCAAACATGCCCACTAAAGGGTTTTTTTGAATACTGAAAAAGGGATGAAAAGACCTTCCAAGAATCTGACCCTTTAAAACCCCTCCCATAAGTTTAAAAATTTTTAAAGTTTGCCTGGTTTCATTTTTCCTCAATTATGATGAAAAAAAAATTAAAGGGAATGGAGGAAAAAAATAAAAAAAAAAAACCCCAAAGAAAACCTTTTTTAATATATAACATTTAGTAATAAAAAACCCTCAAAATTTAAAATATACAGTGGTACCTTGATTTACGAGTCCCCCAAAACTCCAAGTTTTCCGAGTTACGAGCCGTCCTTGGTTATTTTTTTTGTTTTCGATTTTAAAAAACCCAAAATCTGATTTTACAACCGGGTTTCAAACCCACCACTCATGGGAAGATACCAAAGGGAAAACAAAAAAACCCCTTGATAATAACCAATGTGTAACACCCCTTTCAATTTTGTTTACCACGGGTAGTGCACCTGCCAGAATGTTCCAAATTACGAATGCCCTAATTTAAAGAGAAACAACTCTGGAGCATGAAAAAATACTTTTCGGCGGGCCGGGCGGTTGGGGGGCCCAAAGGCGGCTGCTGATTTGTTTTGGGCTGCCCTTGTTATCTTTTTCCTTCTCTCTAGTATCTGTGTTTTGTCTCTATCAATGTCTCAATCTCTGCCAATCTGTCTCTTTTTCCTCTGTCCTTTTTCGGAACCGAGCTGAGCCATTAGAATTTTTAAAGGGGACGGCCCTTTTGATACTAGGCACTGAACCAAAAAGGGTTTAAAAGGTTTTTAAAAAAACCATCCAGCACAAACACATACCCTGCTGTGAAACTCTCCAAACCTTTCTCACATACAGTTTTAAAATTTTAAATTAAACCCCTTGTTTTTAACAAACCTCGATATAAAGGATTTCTAAAACAGGAAAAATTTCCACTGAGTATTTGTACTCTTATTTTCCATTTTCAAATCCCCATTGTACAGTAAAATTAGACATAAAACAAAATACTTAAATATTTTTTTTCCTTTTTTTTTTTTGGCCTTTTTTAAAACATTCTGTTTTTAAAAGACATTTGAAAAACCCTTTTCTTTTAATGTTTTTTTTACATTAAAGGGTTTACTGTAGGTTTTTTTTGGCCTCATTACCAAAACACTAATTGGGCATCCTCCGGTGTATTTTTCCCTTAGTTTAATATTCATAACAATTTTTCCTTATTTAGCGGGAACGGGGCCTCTTTGTCAGTTTTTTTCATCACATCAAAAACTGCACTAACACCAAAACAACTTTTTTTCCCTTATCTGTCTCTCACTACGTGGTGGCAGATTATCTCAATAATTTGGGGGGCACTCTGCAGAAACAAGCACTTTAAAAATTTTCCCCAAATTTCCCGTACCAGAAACCCTTTCAAAACATTTTTGGGAAACCTTAAATTTTCCCTTTTTTTGGGTCAACGCTGAGTAAATAAGTTTCCCAAAATTTTTTTAATAACACTAAGGGCCCCCCAAAAAAACCCTGAGAAAGTAAATTTGTTGGGAGACCCGGGGGCCCCCTTCACTCAAACCGGGTTCACTTGAGTTGGGGGGAAAAAAATCCACACCCAGGGAAACGCCAAAAAATTTTGTTTTTAAAATTTTATTTTCCCATTTCATGAAGTTAAAAGATTATCAAGACTTGTTCAAGAATTTTTCCAAAAGGATGAACTTCTAAATTTTATTTAAGAGGTTTGTTTTTTAATTTTAAATTTTCCTAATTTTTTTACATCCCCTTCTTTTCTTTTCCCTCATATACCCTTTTAAACCCTCTTCTTTATTAAAACAAAAATAAAAAACCATTTTCCCGGGTTTTTGCTAAAATCAGCCAAAGTACAAACCTGTTCAATGAAATAAAGGGCCCTTGAAAATTTAATTTAATTTTTTTTATTAACCCCTAAACACCCAAAAACGTATATTTTACGTTCTTACCGTTTGCCCCCCAAAAACGTATATTACTTTTAATTTTCCTGCCCCCCAAATTTTGAAAACAATGCCTGAATGCCGGGTTCAGCATGAATGGGTCTTAACACTCGGTTGAAACCCAAATTTTAACCCCTTTGACTGTTTAAAGTCGATATATGTTTTAACACCACCAGGGTTTCCCTTATATACTCAAAATTCTAGGGGCTTCAAATCAAGCAGGAAAAAGCTGGGGCCCACAGGGAAAAGAGAATGGGCCCTGTGGGGTCAGGGGTGCCCCAAAAAAAAAAAAATCCTGCACCCCAGTGCATGAAAAAAAAAAACTCCACCGTTTTTTTTTTTAATTTAAAAAATGCCGTTTGGGGGTCTTCTATCTTCGTATTAAATCTATGGTTGTTTTCCCCCGTTTTTCGGGTTCCTTTTGGGATAGAATGAGAAACATATTATAAAATGAAAGCTCAAAGTAGGGAAATTTTGATTTTTCCCGATGTTAAAAAAGTAAAAAAAATCCCTTTTTCCCCAAAAAAATGCCCCAAAAGGGGCCATTCAAATGCAGTAAAAATTTGGTTTTGACATTATTTAACAATTATTCCAATATTCCCGTAGTCTGCATAAAAAGAAAATCTTCTTTTTTTTTGTTTGAAAAAAAAATTCAAAATAGAAAGCAAGAGAAATATAAAGGGGGGCCGGGAAGACAGGGAAAAGAAAATTTTATTTTAGAGCCGGGAAAATGCCCTGCATTTTTTTCATTCGGACCCAAATTTTAAAATTTTGCCCGTTTTTTTTAATTTTTTTGTGAAAATTGGGCCAAAATTTGCAAATTTTTCGGGACCAGCTTTTTGGGTAGTTGATATCGGAAAAAAGGGGGGCATTTTCTTGAAAAACCCCAATTTCGAAAAAAAAAAAGGAGTTCTAAAGAAATGGGCAATGAGTTTGGTCGAATAAAACCAATGGAATTAGCCAAAAATAGGGTTTAAAATGGGGGAAATCGCCGATTCGTAAAATCACTGGGGTCGCTAACTTTGCAAGAGCGTAATTTTCAGTTTTCCCCATAAAATTTTCTTTTCTTTTAGGGGGAGTTTCCCTGGTGATTTTGGGGGGTTAAAACGCCCCCGCGGCCCCCTGTGACCAGGCCTCCTGTGGATCACCGCCTGATAAACCCGGGCTGTTGCTGCTGGTGCACGCAAACCAACGAAACGAGCCACACCCCGGGCTGATCGGGAAACGACTTTAGGTGCTTGCCCAGTGCCACTTAAAAACTGCCAGGGGTCTGTTGGAAAACCCCCCCAATGTGTGCTGGGAGGCAGTTAAACAGTCTCGGGCCCCTGACCTTATTGAAAATGGTCTTTTTAACGTGCTATGACCCCCCTGTTTTTCAGGGGGGGATGGTGAAACCCGTCTGCCAAGTCTTTTTTTTTGGGTGGAGTGTTTTTTCCCGTGTGCAATTTTTAAAGTACTAGCCCCCTCAAAGGTATTTTCCGGGTTTAAAAATCATGTATCCTCCCCCCTCCCTTCCCAGGGAATAACGGGTTTTAGAAAACCCAACCCCCCAAAGAAAATTGAGGTGTTTTTATCCCCGGGTTATCCCG